ACAGTTTACCCCAAATCTGGCATGTTTGCTGGGGAGATATTGTTTGAACACAAACCTGCCAGTAAAATGTACAGTAAAAAGGAATTCATCTACACAGAGGTTTTGTTGGGGAGTATACACTTCTGGGACAGTTAATTTGGAAGGGGCTGAATTTTTTGGAGCCAATCATGGTCATGGTCACCATGACCATTGTATACAGAGAACATGGATATATGATGAATCTGGTCTGTGGACCAATATGACCGCAATTCATTCTTTTTTTGTAATGCCCATGTTATTAGTTAGACTGAAAAAGTATTACATTCGGAAATTGTGATAGATTTCCACTTCAATGGCCTGGCAAAGTATGAGCTTGGGTTGGTGGCTATGTATTGTTGAGCATAAACATTAATTTGGTCTACAATCAAATTATACATGTATTTGGTGAAAAACAGATAAAAAAAGGCTAGGGGAGTTGTTAGGTTTGTTGTTTCCACCGGAACCTTGGGCTGGGCTGTGAATGGGGGATAACTGGTGTTGCTGAATCTGGGGGCAGCCAAATGGGGTTTGCAAGCACCTCTGGAAGGCTACTATGGGCTCTACAGGTCTGTGCTTGAATTATTGGTGGCTGCGTTTGCATTCTGCTGCTACTGCTAGCCACTTCACCATGAGATACTGCAGTGCTGTTGTTTAAAAGGCCAGGATGTATTACGCTACTGGTGCTTGCCAGGTCACCAAAAAGTTGTGTAGAGCTACTGCATATGAGCATAATTGTGCATTTCTAGCACCTCAGCAACCTAGGGTTGGGTACGTCTTATCTTAGCAGGGACCTCTACTCCATCAGCTACCTGTCAGGGTGCCGCTGCACTCTTCAGGTTCATATTCTAAAGGCGGATTTTGACATTGAGGCTTCCCCTTCACTCTCATCTGTCATGCTCAGAATCCTACAGGCCTCCTCACTAGTATGCCTTTTTTGAGACATTTTGGGAACTAACTTTACAGGTACCTAGTGCAACTATGGAAAAAAAAAAGAACCCCTTGCTTTCAGGGATTGCTTGTGCACAAAAAATAAAATTTACCTGCTGGTGCTAGCAGAGATCAGGGCTGATCTTACTAACACTGCGGTTATTTGTGTACCATGTGTGAGGTCGCAGTGATCAGAAATTATATTGACACTGCATTTGTTGAGGGGGGTTGGGGGGACTAAACACACATGCTGGCAGCAATTTGGTCTGAGCCTGCTAACACTGAATTATTGGGGACACTAGCATAGTTCTGATTGGGATCAAGATACTGATCCATTCAGACATTATTCTAGTAATGGTGGTTATAGTTCGACTGTGATAGTCTTGTTGAAAATTAAAGGGTTAACTGGAGGGAAATCAGAGGGTTAAATGTGCCTAACTAGGTGTGTACAAGTGCTGCTTCTACTCATACAGGACCTGCGCTCTTCTCACGCTGAACCAAAAACAGGCTCAGACAGAGAAGATCCATTCAGATCCTGTGTCTGTGTACAAAGATTGACACAGGCTGTGCTGCGATTCAGTATAGCCAATCAGCAGGTTCAGGGCCAACATCTTTTGCCAAAACCTGCTAAAAAAACTTGTGCTGTAGCAAATCAGAGCACAGATCAGGTGGGGGTGTGTACACGCACTGCCACAACCCAGAACAAGCTGGATGAAATACAGTCTGCCCATGCCACCCACCTGCATTAAATGTACTGTGGGTGGGCAGGACCTGGTTAATCTAAGAATATTTTATGGGTACAAAAATTATTTTGTTTTATTTAACCATGCTTCTTTAAGCCCTTGCCACTGTTAATGCAATTTAGCCAAACACTCTTCCCCACAGCGCGTTACGCCTGCTGCATTACTACTGTCCTTGGGGCACATAAGAAAAGAAAAACACATAAAATACAAAATAAACATAAAGATAAAGAGAAAATATAACATGAAGAAGCCAATAGATGTCAGTCAGAAACATAGTATTGTTTTGTCTTTTAGCAATTTTACAGAAAGAATACCTCTAGACTGTATGTAACGATAAACTATATAAGCAAGAACAGTTAATGTGTTTGCAGTTATCCATATGGCAGACTTATAGACAGAAACAAGATTATGGTCCTGCCCAGTGATCTTTTCAACCTGCCCAAATATCTTCACATTTTCCCTACTTGTTCTTCATAAAGACACACCTCTCTGTCTCCCAGAACCTTATCTACTTTCTGCCAGGCAGACAGGCAGCTTGCTTCCAAGATCTGGGTATTAGGCATTTGGATGTGTTTAGCAGGTGTGGAGTAACGCTGTTTTTAGAGGATTTTAGTGGAGAAGGGTGTATCATGAAACAGAAATTGCAGAGGAGTATGTCTTATTGGTTTAAGAGAAGTTTTCTGTACCCATGGAACTGTGATGGAAATGGAACTGTGTAATCTTGGGACACAACCACCAAATATGGAGGAATGTCCCCTCCTGCCCACAACACCTCCAGCATCTTGGATTTGCTCCTGGTAAAATATTTGCTAGGCGAGAGGGGGACTTGTACCATCTTGACAGAACTTGATAGCACGTCTCTTGAGTTTTGGTTCTAAAAGATGAAACATATGATAGTTGTATTATTTTTTTGCAACTGGTGGGGAGTAAACTCCACATTAAAGTGGAACTTTACGCATAACAACATAATAATAATAATAACGTTATTTAGCAATAAACATACATTCCACAATAAATATGCTACCAAAATTAGTGTGTGGTGTAAATTGCGTACAGCATTGCTCCTACTTCTTCTTTTTGGGAGGCTGCCTTTTTGCTGAAGCCCCCTGAGCAGTGGTAAATCTTTAGGCTGTCAGCAGATCGGCCTCTAGTGGCTCTGATTTTTGGCACAGTGCCAAAAAATAGAGAGCAACTGAGCATGTGCAGGGTGAGACAGTGTATTACTAGATTTTAAAGTGTATAGGCACTTATTGTTAATGTTTTACTATTCCCTTTATAACTGCAAAAGGGGCCAGCCTGATGTGATAAAGCAGGACTTTTTCTGACTAAAGTTCCCTCTCCCATTCCTTAATAAAATCAGAGGAAGTGCTAAGCAGTTTATACATGCAGGAAAGTAGGTGTTTCTTATCACTATCTGTTGCACATACAAACTCAAAGGGGCTCAAGGCGGCTACCGGTCTCAATTTGTGAGTCAATTTTGGGAGGAAATCAAGTATTTGTCTATACTTCCAAAAGTCCAAAAGGAACCCCCCTTAAGTGCTGTCTAATGGTACAAGCATTCTTTCAGGGACAATCAGTTCTATAGATATTGTATATAAGAGATAGGTAATCTGTGACCGGATATAAATTTTGATTACAACTATTCTCCCCAGCCGTGTTAAAGGAAAGGCCCAAGTCGCTTCTCACCCAGCTTACTAAACTGTCGTAGTTCTGAGAGTAGAGGTATTTGGTATAGGGAGAAATGATGTGCCTAAGTAGGGAAGCAAATCTGTCCTCCACATGAATGGAAAATTGCATTATAACAGAGTAGCTAAGCCAAGTGATATGAGAATTGGCAATATTTCTGACCTACTAAACTAATGTGTAGTGCTGTGCTGCTCAAAAAACATTTAAATACAACATATCATACATAAAAGTCCAAAACACATATGAAAAAACTCAACAATGAAAGTCCAAAAGGAAAAGGAAATAATTCTTCAACAATGTAGATGGGAAAAACGTATTCCTACTGGAGAGTAAGTCCATAATCCCGGTGCATCACAACGGTGACCATATGGAATAAGTGGACCCACACCTTCATGTATGGACCAGTAAAAGAAACAGGTCAAACAGGCATCTTCCCTCCTAGCGGGGGTGAAATAGTGGCCTCTCCTCTATGGATAATCCGCCTTTTTATATATGGTCACTGTACATGGCCGGATCTAGGGGGGTGCTGGGGTGGGATATGCCCCCCAGATATCAGTTGTGCCCACCAGGCCTGGACTGGGACAAAAAATAGGTCCGGCATTTTAAACTGAGCAGCATATTTCTGCGGGGGTGTCAATGGCGGTGTGCAAGGGCATTCGCGGGGGCAGATGGTGTCAGGGCTCCGGGTATGACCAGAGGTGTGTGGACTGACACAGGGAAACGCAGGCTTCAGATATAGTATAAACAATATTTATTTAAGACTGAACAATACATAAAGGCAGTGCAAGACTAAACATAAACACAGTGCAAACAAACCAAACCAAAACCCCCAACAGATAACAAAAGAACAATACTAAGCGTAGTCGGGCAGGCCGGGTCGGTAGCAAACGGGCAGGCAAGGTACAAAGGAGCAGGCAGAGCGTAGTCAGACGGGCCGGGCCAGGAATAATCAGGCAGACAAGGTACCAAAGGAGCAGACTCCAGAGTGGTCAGGATAGCAGAGGTCAGGACAGGCGGAGTTCAATCAGAGTCAGGGATCAAGCAGAATCAGACAGGAAGCAGACAGGATGCAGGTACAGGGGCTCTTGGGAAACATACACCAAGGCCCTGATTGCAAGTCTGGCCATTCCTTATATGCACCTCCTGCAATCAGCCTCAGGTGTTTTGGCTGACTGCAGGAGTGAGCCTCTGGTTGCTGAGAGCACCCGCTGGCCAGTCCTGGTACTGCAACCCACAAGGCAGGTGAGTCCCACCACTATTGGCGAGTCCATTCCTGACAGTACCCCCCCCCCCTCAAGGAGCGGCCTCAGGACGCTCCAAACCGTCCTAAATGGGCAAAATGTTCCACCCGCCCAGATCCGGTAATTGGCGGGATATCAAGGACTGGTACATCAGGCTGGGCACCAGGCAGAGGCACATCAGGCTGGGCACCGGACGGAGGCACATCAGGCTGGGCACCGGACAGAGGCACATCAGGCTGGGCACTGGACGGAGGCACATCAGGCTGGGCACCGGACGGAGGCACATCAGGCTGGGCACCGGACAGAGGCACATCAGGCTGGGCACCGGGCCACCAGGCAGAGCAGCGGGCACCGGGCCACCGGGCGGAGCAGCGGGCACCAGGCCACCAGGCAGAGCAGCAGGCTCCGAGTCATCTGGCAAGACAGTGGGCGCCGAGTCATCTGGCAAGACTGCGGGCACCGGGTCATCTGGCTCGACAGCGGGTACCGGGTCATCTGGCTCGACAGCGGGCACCGGGTCATCAGGCATCGGATCGTCTGGCTCGACAGCAGGCACCGGGTCATCTGGCTTGACAGCGGGCACCGGGTCATCTGGCATCAGGTCATCTGGCTCGACAGCGGGTACCGGGTCATCTGGTTCGACAGCGGGCACCAGGTCATCAGGCATTGGATCGTCTGGCTCGACAGCGGGTACCGGGTCATCTGGCTTGACAGCGGGCACCGGGTCATCTGGCAACAGGTCATCTGGCTCGATCAGTTCAACAGGCTGGGTAGGACCATGAGGCTGGGTAGAACCATCAGGCTGGGTAGAACCATCAGGCTGGGTAGCGTACACTGGGTCATCAGGCATCAGGGTATCAGGCTGAATTGCGGGTGCCGGGGCACCAGGCTGAACCACGGAAGGCGGGTTCTCAGACGGCAGGCTAACCGGTTTGGATACTGGCAGGATGGTACTGGTTGGAAAGAATTTTTGCTTTTTCCTGGTTTTAGTTACTGGAGCACAGGAAGTAAGCACAGGTTTGTAAGTGGATAGAACAGCTGTAGGCAGAGAAGAGCAGGGGGATGGAACAAAGGAGGGAGAAGTTGCTACAGAGGACTTCTTTACAGGGTTAAAGAAAGGATAGATAGGTGGAGCGAGTGGGAGCAGGGGACTGATATGTGGCAGTTAGCAGAGTATACTGGGGGTGCTGTCGGGGATGCAGGAACAGTGCCTTGAGCAGAGGAATGACGTTGCAAGCTGACTGAGGCTGGGTGCAACAAGTCTGACCATGTCTGCAGTATGGGTTGAACAAAGCTCAGCTTACACAAAGCCTGTCTGGTCAAAGACTGCACTGCGTTTATACAGTCTCTTAGTACCTGTTGTGAACATGCAGAATAACGCTCCAGAAAGTAATCCACATCATCCTCCAATAACCACACCAAGGACTCTACCTGGTCGGCACTAAATGGCATCAAAAATTCATCCCTGCTTTCGGGGGTACCAGATGAAACCAACTCTGCACAAACCTGAATCAATGGTTGCACCTCAGAGAACTCTGTGCCCTGATCTACTAGGCAATGAGCGATCCTTATGCACTCTAGTAGTTGATCCCTGGTATACTCCTTCAGAGTCTGATAAGCATAATCTCTGTCATCAAACACTAGCAGAGACAAATACACCACCTCATCAAGATTCATCCTTCCCAGCAACAATAAAGCCAAGATGGCTTCCCTGTGCAGCCACTTCTGGTCAGGATTGGCCTTGGTGTAATGTCAGGGCTCCGGGTATGACCAGAGGGTGTGTGGACTGACACAGGGAAACGCAGGCTTCAGATATAGTATAAACAATATAATTTATTTAAGACTAAACAATACATAAACGCAGTGCAAGACTAAACATAAACACAGTGCAAACAAACCAAACAAAACCCCCAACAGATAACAAAAGAACAATACTAAGCGTAGTCGGGCAGGCCGGGTCGGTAGAAAACGAGCAGGCAAGGTACAAAGGAGCAGGCAGAGCATAGTCAGATGGGCCGGGTCAGGAACAATCAGGCAGACAAGGTACCAAAGGAGCAGACTCCAGAGTGGTCAGGAATAGCAGAGGTCAGGACAGGCGGAGTTCAATCAGAGTCAGGGATCAAGCAGGATCAGACAGGAAGCAGACAGGGTGCAGGTACAGGGGCTCTTGGGAAACATACACCAAGGCCCTGATTGCAAGTCTGGCCATTCCTTATATGCACCTCCTGCAATCAGCCTCAGGTGTTTTGGCTGACTGCAGGAGTGAGCCTCTGGTTGCTGAGAGCGCCCGCTGGCCAGTCCTGGTACTGCAACCCACAAGGCATGTATGTCCCACCATTATTGGCGAGTCCTTTCCTGACAGATGGTGACGGAATATTCACAGAGTCGGTCCTCCACACTGTAATATAAAGAGAACAGTGATATGAAGAGGACTGCACTGTAAAGAGGCACTGTATTTATTACAGTGCCCCTTTACAGCTCAGTCCCCTTTATATCACAGTGCCCCTGTACATTACAGTGCATCTAGACATCTAATCACAGTGCCCCCTATATATTCAAAAAGATGGCCCAATCCTGCAAAGAGACATCCCCATCCAGCAAAGAGATCTCTTCATATAGCAAACAGACAGCCCAGTCCAGCAAATAGACATCTCTAGCAAAGAGACATCCAAATCCACAAAGAGATGGGATGCCTCTTTGCTGGACAGGGAAGTCTCTTTTCTGGATGGGGATATCTCTTCTTGGACTGGGCTGTCTCTTTGCTGGATTGGGATGTCTCTTTGCTGGACCCAACTGGGTAAAGAGACATCCCAATCCAGCAAAGAGGCAGCCCAATCCAGCAAAGAGAGATCGCTGTCCAGCAAAGAGAGATCGCTGTCCAGTAAAGAGACAGCCCCTTCCAGCAAAGAGACAGCCCCGTCCAGCAAAGAGACATCCCAATCCACCGCTGCCACAGAGCTGCAACAGTGTGCCGGCCAGTGAAGGAAAGAGGCCGCCAATGTCCCTTCAGTGCAGTGGCTGGCCAAGGAGGTTTCCCTGTGTTAGTGGCACTTCTGCTTGTCGCTGGAGCCTAGTCCAGACTGCGGTCGGCGCTTACCTCCCGCTGTGCAGCCCGGTCATCTTAAGCCCGATGGCCCCAGCCCCCGGGGGTATAAGTGCTCAATAGGTAAATGGTTAACTAATCTATCCCTAATGGTGGGTGCTTGCCTATATACTGTATAACATGTGGCTTCTCTAGCAATACTTCTTTCAGATGTTTGTCAGCTTTCAAAATGGGCCAATATTTTTTTTTTTTTATATATTTTCTACCTCCCTATGTTGGGCATTATAATCAAGGATGATGGGCAATGTTTTTTCTTGTTTAACTAAGTGGAGTACCCGATTAGGGACAAAAGGATGGTACTAGATAAGGGATTAAAATATGCCCCCCCAAAAGAATTTGAACAAGTTTGAAACATTTGTGGGTATACAAAAATATATTAGGAGCCTGAATATTAATTAGTATCTATTATCTAACCCACAAATCCATAGTGGGGAGATTAGGAGGACTGAAAATAACTATCTACACAGTACATTTAAAAATAAATCACTATATAATCCACAGAATAATAACAAACATATTAAGTAGAGATGAGCGAAGTATTCAAAAATTCGATTCGACTGATTCGGCGAATTCGTGGAAAAATTCCGATTCGAGTCGAATATATTCGCTGCGAATTTAACTTATAAAAGGGTGTTTCTAGGCTTCAGAGAGCCTTTATATTAGTGCAGAACACTGTACATTTAATTTAAATGCCCTTGGAGTCTGCTGGGGAAGAGAAATAATACTGACAGTCAGTATGACATGCAGATGAGTGCCGTCGATCTTAGAATCACCGCACACTTCACTCATTTGGGCAGTCACGGGGCCAAAAACCAGAGTGTGGAGCCACAGTGTGGCGGTGGAGGCAGCAGCAATGGGAGGCCATACAGCACCCTATGACAAAAATGGAAACCACCAGCAGTGTGAGGAGACCTGAAAGTGGCACATGGCAGAGTGTGGCGATGGAGACAGCAGCAATGGGAGGCCGTACAGGGACCCATGACACACTCTGGACCTGGCAGCAGCATGAGGAGGCGGTACAGGGGGCCCATGACAGATTACGGGCCTGGCAGCAGCATGAGGAGTCGGTGCGGGGGCCCATGACACACTCTGGACCTGGCAGCAGCATGAGGAGGCGGTACAGGGGCGCATGACAGATTACGAGCCTGGCAGCAGCAACTTGGACAGGAGGACGTTCAGCTTCTGCACCGTCGGGTGCGTGCTCGCAAACTGTTGTCTCTTGGAAACGGATTCCAAGAAAGACTGCTGACGGAATCCGTGAAGAGGAGTAGCAGGAGAAGGAGCATCTGAACGACGCGGAGGAATATGCCAACAAGCGACAACAGGGGCCCATGACAGATTACGGGCCTGGCAGCAGCATGAGGAGTCGGTACGGGGGGGGGCCCATGGCAGATTAGAGGCCTGGCAGCAGCTATGGGGGCAGGCCCGTAATCTGCCAGCACCCTATGACAAAAAATGGAACACACCAGCAGTGTGAGGAGACCTGAAAGTGGCACATGGCAGAGTGTGGCGATGGAGACAGCAGCAATGGGGAGGCCGTACAGGGACCCATGAGAGACTCTGGACTTGGCAGCAGCATGAGGAGGCGGTATAGGGGCCCATGGCAGATTAGGGGCCTGGCAGCAGCTATGGGAGGCCCCGTAATCTGCCAGCACCCTATGACAAAAAATGGAACACACCAGCAGTGTGAGGAGACCTGAAAAGTGGCACATGTTTGGGGCATGATTCATGGCGGATTTAGTCAGTTGTGTCAGGAACTGGTGGTTTGAAATCCAGACTAATCCACGCCTGATTCATTTCACAAAACGTGAGTCTCTCCACACTTTGGGTGGACAGTCGTGTCCTCCGCGGAGTTACAATACCTCCTGCCGCACTAAACACGCGCTCCGATGCCACGCTACTGGCCGGGCTTGACAGCCTTTCAAGGGCAAATTCAGCTAGTTGGGGCCAAAGGTCAAGTTTCGTTGCCCAGTAGTCAAGGGGGATTGTCTACCTCGGTTGGCAGGGTGCTGTCCAAGTAGGCCTAAGCCTGTTGTTTGAGGTCCTGCTCCAGGTCCACCTGATGCTGCTGCTGCGGCTGGTTAGTATTTCCTTACTGCGCTGGTGAAGAAAGCTATACTCATCATCGACTGCAGACTGAGGCAGCTGCTGCTGGTGGAGCTGCCACTGCTCCTACCACCCCACCCCATCCCCTGCTGCCATGGCAGCGGAACGCGAGAGCGCACAGGGCCCACAGTGTCTGAGGATGGACGTTGGCACAGAAAGGCAGAGACCAGCTGACTACATAGGTGGTTTTTTATAGTACGTTATTTTGGCCTCCCTCTCTCAGCAGGTGTGTGAAAAAGGCCACCATTTTGAACGTAGCGAGGGGGCTCCAAACAAGGTGGACAGCCAAAAGTTCCCTCTGTCTGATGGTTATTATTCGGCTGTCGGGTACGAAGAAGCAAGTGAACCGAGCATGCTCATGGGCCATTTGTGCCCAAGGAATGCGAGGGGACTCCCTGCCTCCATCGTTTCACAGCATACATGCCACGGTCATGCGTCTGGGTCCTCTGTCTCCCTCCTCCTCTACCAAGATGCTCTTTGCGCCTCCACTCCTGTCCGCTGAGTGGAAAAAGAACCACCCATTTACACTCAATAATTCCTGAGCACCAATGTCCTCCTATACCTCCTTCCTCTTCTCTTCCTGTCCTGCCCACTCACACGGTCATGTGGCTGTTGCAGATCTGTGGCGCCACGTCCTACCGCACCCTGACCAGCCTATGTTAATGCACGATTGTTCCTAGCGACGGTTGCAACAGAAGGAATTCGACGTCGTTCATCACGACCATAGTCCGGTGCCGGTACTCCCAGCAAACGTAATAGCCGTGGCCTCCTACAAAGGGCCCTGAGCAGAAGCGCAGATGGTGTCACGCATGTAGCTGCCAATGGGTCTGACATCCTAATGTTACACAGGGAGTACCTTTATCCGCTTTTTACATACAGGATAGTTGTGATGGGCCGTATCGCTGTTCGTAATAGGCGGTCTATCAGATGGAGGGGTGATAGTCACTCCTGGGTGGATTCGGATAAGCTAGGTCGGCGAGGCGGGGTCGGCGGCGGAACATGCTTCCCCCCGACGCTGCCCCCTTGGTCGTCGTCGAACCTGAGCAGCGGAATCAGCACTGGCCGCTCGCTCCTCCGGGGAGATACTCCTGGCGGGCATCGGCCGGCTCCCTCCGGTACTCATGCAGTTGGAGAGCCGGTGTGTGGTGCACGCAGGTGGGGCCTAGGGATATATGTGGGAGCAAAGCCCACACCCGCGTGGGGTGCGGCTAATTGTGCGACGCGCCGTGAGAAGTGCACCCCGGTCAGGGGGAGCTCACACACTTGTAACCGCCTACCATTGGGACCCTGACTCGATATTGGTGCCGGGGGAATCGTCCTCCGAAGAAGGATTGACCGACGGGCGACTTGCCACTCGGGGTTTCTACTCCCAGCGCATCATTGACTATGTATCGCAGGGAGGTGGCTGCCACGTGCCTCCTCTAGGTATTGTACTCGGGATTAGGGCGACCGCGCGAGCAGAACGGCGGCACAGTCGTCCACTTGGCGGGAGGCCCCTCATACCCTAATTAGATGAAGCCAGCCTCCGCGTGGCTATGACGGGGCTCATGATGGGGCGTAGTATGGTTCTCGCGAAATGGTAGTTGCCCCTCGGGGATTGCGCAGGGGGTCTATGGCCTCGAGGTCTTTGACATGGGACTCACTTTTAGCGGGGTGGCGGTGTGAAGTGCATAGGGGTGAGGGGCGTCGCGACGGGCTATATGTTCCGACCCGGCGGGTGCTGTTTGGTGCATGGCGTGCATGGACGGCGGGGGAGTGCACCATGGGCACATGTACCCAAGACATACTCGGGTTGGAAACGAAGGGGCACTGTTGCCCCGGCACACTGGCTGGCGGAGACTCACTATACATCGCGCCAGGCAACCATGCGCAACTCGAGAGGGCTTTTTGCGTTTGTCTCGGACGGAAGAGTCCCTCGGGCCCTGAATTCGAGCGGGCGGAGCGGATACATCCGGGTGGATGGGACTCACGCCGGTCGGCCGTCAAACTACCCACACGGCGCTGAATCCACCGATCTAAACCTGGCGGCCTTCAAGCATCCCAATCGGCGGATTGGATCTTGGGGCGACACCAGGAGCGTGCCCAGCTCTCAACGGCCGTTCACAGGGGTAGCGCTCCCGCGATCCTATTCAGAACTGTTCTGTACAGAATGTGGGGGGTATGGTGAACTGTCTGTTTGGAAAGGGGGGGGGACCGCTCTGGAGCAGGGACCTGATTGCGTGCACCTTACTAACGACGGGGTCGGCCGTGGCTGGGGGAGAAACTTTGGCCTGGGGGGGTCAGCCGGCGCTATATTTAGGATACACACCTGCGGGGTAAAACTGCGAGCCCACCTCGGCCGTTGGCTCCGCCTCCTGATCACCTGCGGTGGACCGGCTGTATCCAAATGTGCCCGCGGCACAAGGGTAGGGGCACAATGTGCCGGAAGGTAATGCGGCGGTGGATGACTCATGCGCGGGACTTCGGTACTGCCATGGGGGGACTGGCACTGTGCCGGCGAGCACCTCCATGGCAGATCGGGCACCGTAGGCTGGGTGATACTCGCATCCAAGTGTGGGGGGCCCTGTCCGCAAGGTCTTGGTTGAGGCATCCCGGGCGAGACGCGCGGGGGGCAGGCCATTCGTAGATATGTCCCTTGGCACACTCCTAGGCATGGCTCGCGTTGCCTTCACAGGGCGCACAGCCCGCGCACCCACGGACGCTCGGGAGCGAAATGCTGTCTGTACCTCGGACACTGGATCCGGGCGGCTAGCGAGGCCATTGCGAAGGTCTGATCATGGCATCCGCGCAGCGGATAGTGAGGTGCGCCGGAGTCTGCAGCAAGCGGTGAAAAATGCCCTGGGGATGAGTGTACGTCCTCTCTCACCAGTCAACAATTGAGCTCGACGATCCCCAGCTACTCATGGCGGAATCGCCTCGCTCATTAGGGGGGATCTCGCTATTTGCTGGTTAGGGTGTGGCTGGAAGGACTCACGGGCCCTACGACCCGGGCCCGGCGAGAAAAGGTCAATTAGGTGAGGGCGTTTCGACTTTGGGGACCCCGCGCGGTAGATCCACCCATATGTATTAGTTTGGACGCGTAGGTTCATGTTGGGGCACAAGGGGCCTCCGCCTGAGCTAGACAACGCCCGGGGAGCGGGCCCGACTGGGAGCTCCCCTCCACCCCCGAGACTGGGGGTAACGGCGCACGTATGGTAAGGTCTCGTACTGAGACAGCACTGCGGTCAGGCGGGAGTGGGACGCGGGGGGTCATCTCGCCGGCGGCCCAAACCGTGCACTCCAACCTCGGCGCTCTTCTGGGAATTATAAGATATTCCTGGTCCCGGACCCGCTTCGTGGCGGATGCCTGCGCAGAGGGTAGTCACGGCCGGCGGCTGTGCGAGGTGAACTTCGCCCGGGCGGCGGAATAGGTGTGGGTGGAAACTAGGTGGCCACCAACCGACGTTTGGGGCTGATCAAAGGTGGTGGGGCCGCGTGGCGCTGGGGGGGGTGGGATCGACCCGCGACTCGGGTCCGGGGCGCCGTGAAAGAGGCGCGGCCTGCGTTAATGGCGCGTCCGGGCCGTCGCTGGTTCCCCGGTGCCGTGGGGGCGCGCGGGACCACTTAGGGTGCGCTATTAAGGTATGGGGAACGCCGCGGCAGGGGGCGGGCTCAGGCGGTGGATAGACCATAGGCCGAGGCGGCCCCTGGGGATGCTGGTCCCTTGGCCGGGGACGTTCTATGTGGCCAGGGCGGGGCTGGCAACATGCGTGGGAGTCGCGCCGGAGGGTGTGGCGGTACGGATCGATCAGCATTGCCGCAAGCCGCCTACATGAGTCTCCACACAATCTGGACATACTGGGGCACGGGGGAATCAGTGCTGCCCGGTATCATTGCGCTCGATGAGTGGTACACTCGGACGGGATCAATGTGCACTCGGTACCCGATCAGGTCGTGTATATGGCTCTTAGGGGCACACATTACTGGGTGGGTGGGGACACGGTGGCCCCTTTGGGCTGTGGTTGCGGGCGTGGGGACCTACGAATAGCGGGGTGGCGCAAACGGGCGGTCCACGGTCGTAAGTTTGGTCGCTGGGCAACTGGAGTCCCTGAACGTGTTTGGGGCGCGGCTGGGACAGCCGAGTGTTTGGGATCTGGCACAACCGGGGGGCCAGGTCACTGTGCGATTGTGGGTCGTTAGGGGTGGGCGAACCAGCCAGCTCACTCCCGCCGAGGCTGCCATAGGGGACAAGTCTGCGGGGGGTGGGTTGAATTGGCACGCCCCCGAGGCCGGGATGCCTTAAATGCACTGTCATCCGTGCCCCCGGTCGCTTGATACGCGTCTCGATGCCAGGCCGTGCATGAATCCAAGTTGGATCGCCCGGAATCAAGTGGGGGGTTAGGTGCGCGCTGATTTGACAATCGGTGAGGCCGTCTCTACCGCTGGGGGCCCTCGGGGGTGTGGTGCTGTGTATGTACGGGGGCCCACCTCTGTGGAGGGCCCAGATTTGCGGCGGTAAGCACTGTCCGTCCGTGATGCCCGTCCCAGGGGGTGGGGTGGGGGGGGGGCCGTCGGGTAGGCAGCGGGGCTGCGTGGGGCGTGGGAAGGTCGGATGGTGAGGGGGAGAAGGGGGCCGTCGAGCGGCGGACCACCTCCGCAATTGAGAGGGCATGCTGCCTGCGGGGGTGCGCCCCCTGGTGACGCGGGACGGTGGACACGGCGGTGGATCGTTTCCAGATGGAGGTAAAAATGCAATGGTCTGTTATTCGGCACGGTCGTCGGCGTTGGGTGTACGGGGGTCAATGCCAACCTGTTGGCGGCCGAAATGGATGGCGATACGTCGGAGGCGCGTTCCTCGGGCGCGGGCTACAAGCTGGAATCACGTATGCCCCATTTTGGGGGGCGGCTTTTGTCTCGATTGCTCAGGCGTTGGCGGGTGGAGATACCAAGCGACTTGGACGGAACTCGGCCTTATGAATGGGGTCGACATGCTCTATGGGTTGAGTAGTCCGCGTTGTCAATGTGGGTCGAGCGGGGGTTAGGTTGGTGACGAGGTGTTGTCGTCGCCGAAGGTCACGCGTTGGTCGCCGTGGCAATGGCGGCGAGGTGGTTCTGGTTCTATGACGTTGAACTCGGCCGTAGTGGGGACCAGCGCAGAAGTATTCACGGTGTGACGGGGGGTAACCGAGCGGGGTGGCGGCGGTCGGCGTCGGCCCATCCTGGTCGCCGTACCGACGCCTCCATTGCCGGGCCGAGCTCTCGCACGAAGGGTCAATCCTGATGGCGCCACGATTACGCGGGTGGACGACATGCGTGAAGCATGAGTACCATGAGAGCCCCACATACTATGCCTAACTGGGGGTAGGGGGGTTTCGGCTACTAACCACCTGGCTTAGACTCGGGCCGGCGGCACCTCCCCCGGCGCTACGCGGACGGGACGGTGTGGTGAAGGGACGCTGCCGCTTCTCCACCCGTGCGGGGGGATTGTTTCAGACGCGTGGACTGCCCAGGCCGTCTAAATCAGCGGGCATGCCGGTTGATATGAGGATCCGGGGTCGGTGGACGGGTCGCGGAGGGTGGGGGTGTCTGGCCCACGTCGCGGTATTGAAGGGCTGGGGTCAGGATGCTGCCAGCATGGTCGAACAATTTCGCCTAGCTGGAACACCGGTGGCGATGCTTCGGGGGCGCCCTCCACAGCGAGCAGGGGCTCGCGCTGCAGATTTGGCGTGGTTGGGCTATTGAACCTGCTCGAATCGCGCTCCTGGGTGCCGAGGGCCCCCAAGGGTTCCGCGTCGGCTGCTTGGGCCTGGGCTGGGTTGTTGAGCCACGGGGCGCGTTGGTTACCCTCCGTGCCCTAAGGACTGTGGTTGTACGCGAATTGCTGACAACCAGTGCTCTCCGTCACTCTCTCTGTCATGTCCTCTGATTGTGTACTTTATGGGTACTATTGTGACGTCCGGAATACCATGTTCTTTGCTTCACTTGTTTTGTCTTGGCAGATTACGGGCCTTGGCGCAGCAATGGAGGCCCGTAATCTGCCAGCACCCTATGGACAAATAAACTGACACACAGCAGTTTGTGAGGAGACTGAAAGTGGCACATGGCATGAGACATGTGGACCTGGCAGCAGCATTGTGGAGGCGGGCGATACAGGGGCCCATGGCCAGATTAGGGGCCTGGCAGCAGCTATGGGGAGGCCCGTAATCTGCCAGCACCCTATGACACAAAATGCGAACACACCAGCAGTGTGAGGGAGACCTGAAAGTGGCACATGGCAGCAGAGTGTGGCGATGGAGACAGCAGCAATGGGAGGGCCAGTACAGGGACCCATGAGACAGAGACTCTGGACCTGGCAGCAGCATGAGGAGGCGGTATAGGGGGCCCATGGCAGATTAGGGGGCGGCCTGGCAGCAGCTATGGGAGGCCCGTAATCTGCCAGCCACCCTATGACAAAAAAATGGAAACACACCAGCGCAGAGTGTGAGGAGACCTGAAAGTGGCACATGGCAGAGTGTGGCGATGGAGACCAGCTGCAATGGGAGGCCGTACAGGGACCCATGAGAGACTCTGGAGACCTGGGCAGCTGAGCATGAGGCGGGAGTGGGTATAGGGGCCCATGGCAGATTAGGGGCCTGGCAGCAGCTATGGGAGGCCCGTAATCTGCCAGCACCCTATGTCAAAAAATTGGAACACACCAGCAGTGTGTGAGAGGAGACCTGAAAGTGGCACATGGCAGAGTGTGGCGATGGAGACAGCAGCAATGGGAGGCCGTACAGGGACCCATGAGAGACTCTGGACCTGGCAGCAGCATGAGGAGGCGGTATATAGGGGCCCATGGCAGATTAGGGGCCTGGCAGCAGCAGATGGGAGGCCCGTAATCTGCCGAGCCACCCTATGACCAAAAATTGGAACACACCAGCAGTGTGTTGAGGAGACCTGAATGTGGCACATTGGCTTGAGACACTGTGGACCTGGCAGCAGCATGAGGAGGCGGTACAGGGGCCCATGGCAGATTAGGGGCCTGGCAGCAGCTATGGGAGGCCGTAATCTGCCAGCACCCTATGACTAAAAAATGGAAACACCAGCAGTGTGAGGTGACCTGGAAAGTGGCACATGGCATGAGACACTAATGGACCTGGCAGCAGCATGAGGAGGCGGTACAGGGGCCCATGGCAGATTAGGGGCCTGGCAGCAGCTATGGGAGGCCCGTAATCTGCCAGCACCCTATGACAAAAAATGGAACACACCAGCAGTGTGAGGAGACCTGAAAGTGGCACATGGCAGAGTGTGGCGATGGAGACAGCAGCAATGGGAGGCCGTACAGGGACTCATGAGAGACTCTGGACCTGGCAGCAGCATGAGGAGGCGGTATAGGGGCCCATAGCAGATTAGGGGCCTGGCAGCAGCTATAGGAGGCCCGTAATCTGCCAGCACCCTATGACAAAAAATTGAACACACCAGCAGTGTGTGAGGAGACCTGAAAGTGGCACATGGCAGAGTGTGGCGATGGAGACAGCAGCAATGGGAGGCCGTACAGGGACCCATGAGAGGACTCTGGACTTGGCAGCAGCATGAGGAGGCGGTATAGGGGCCCATGTCAGATTAGGGGCCTGGCAGCAGCTATGGGAGGCCCGTAATCTGCCAGCACCCTATGTCAAAAAAATTGAACACACCAGCAGTGTGAGGAGACCTGAAAGTGGCACATGGCAGAGTGTGGCTGTCAGGAATGGATTCAGCACTGGTGGTGGGACTCTCCTGCCGTGTGGGCTGCAGTACCAGAGCTGACCAGCGGGTGCTCTTAGCAGCCAGAAGCTCACAATCAGCCAAACCTGGGGCTGATTACAGAAAGGTGTATATAAGGCATGACCAGGCCTGTGCTCTGGGCCTTGGTGTATGGTTTCCCATGAGCCCCTGTTCCTAGTTCCTGTGAGAAGATACCTTGTTGCCGACCCTGCCTGATCCTGATTCCTGTTGACCGTCTTCTGTTCTGAACTACTGGCTCATCCCTGACCATCCTTCTGCCTGATCCTCTGTACTGCGCTGTCCGTGAGTTACTGAACCCGGCTTGTGACCTTGACCATTCTCTGCCTGCTCCTTTGATACCTTGCTGCCCGCACGTTGCTGACTTGGCCCGTCTGACCACGCTCACTACTCTGCTATCCATCCATCCTGCACGGATCCAGCCGTACCTGCACATACCTCTGGCGGATCCCTCTATCACTAGCAGGTGTACTCAGGGGGCCGCGACCTGGTTCCTGTCTGCTCCAAGTCCATCCCCACCATCAGGGGCCCTGGTGAATAGCAGACTGGGACTTAGACTCCGCGCCCTGAGAATCCTGCCCTGAGGACCGCTAGAGGTACCACCAGGCAGTCGTTACAGAACCTACGGCCGGCCTGACCATTCCACCTCTCCAGCCCTGACTACGCCTGTGTTCCTGCACCTCCTAAGATTAGTGGAAGGTTAGTTTGCTCACTGTGCGTTTATATATATATATCTGGGTGGCTAATAATATAACCTGTATTATACTATACCTGAAACCTGCGTTTCCCTGTGTCAGTCCACACCTTTCTGGTCACTCCTTGATTCCTGACATCACACCAAGGCCTTTCCTGACCAGAAGTGGCTGCACAGGGAAGCCATCTTGACTTGTCGTGAAGGATGCATCCTGATGAGGTTATATATTTGTCTATGCTAGTCTTTGATGACAGAGAATATGCCTATAAGACTCTGTGGGAGTATACCCGGGATCAGCTGCTAGAGTGCATACGGGTCGCTCATTCCCTAGTAGGTCAGGACCTAGAGCTCTCTGAGGTGCAACCATTGATTCAGGCTTGTATTGAGTTGGCTTCATCTAGTACCCCTGAAAGCAGGGATGAATTTTCTTCCTCCATTCAGGGCGAGTCAAATAATATCACACTGGTATGGTTGTTGGAGGATGATCCGGATTGCTTCTTGGAGCATTATTCAGCATATTCACCACAGGTGCTAAAAGAAGTGTATAAACGCAGTGCAAACTTTGATCAGACAGGCCTTGTGTAAGCTGAGCGTTGTCCAACCCTTACTGCAGACATGGTCAGACTTGTTACAACCCAGCCTCAATCAGCTTGCAACGAACCAGTCCTGTTTCTCATCATTCCTCTGCTCAAAGCTCTTTTCCTGCATTCCCGACAGCACCCCCAGTGACAGCCCCCCCAGTGACAGCCCAGTATACCCAGCAATCTGCCACATGTCGGTACCCTACTCCCACTCACTGTACCATCCTGCCAGTTGACTCGGTGCCCGCTGTCGTACCAGTTGACTTGGTGCCAGTTGACTCGGTGCCCGCTGTCGAGCCAGATGACTTGATGCCTGATGATTCGGTGCCAGTTGACTTGGTGCCCGCTGTCGTACCAGTTGACTCGGTGCCAGTTGACTCAGTGCCCGCTGTTGAGCTGGATGACTTGATGCCTGATGACTCGGTGCCCGTTGTCGTACCAGTTGACTTGGTGCCAGTTGACTCGGTGCCCGCTGTCGAGCCAGATGACTTGGTGCCTGATGATTCGGTGCCAGTTGACTTGGTGCCTGCTGTCGTACCAGTTGACTTGGTGCCAGTTGACTCAGTGCCCGCTGTTGAGCTGGATGACTTGATGCCGGTTGACTCGGTGCCCGCTGTCGTGCCAGTTGACTCGGTGCCCGCTGTCGTACCAGTTGACTCGGTGCCCGCTGTTGAGCCAGATGACTTGATGCCTGATGGTTCGGTGCCAGTTGACTTGGTGCCCGCTGTCGTACTAGTTGACGCTCGGTGCCAGTTGACTCAGTGCCCTGTTGAGCCGGATGACTTGATGCTTGATGACTCAGTGCCCGCTGTTGAGCCGGATGACTTGATGCTTGATGACTCGGTGCCCGCTGTCATACCAGTTGACTCGGTGCCCGCTGTCGTGCCAGTTGACTCGGTGCCCGCTGTCGTGCCAGTTGACTCGGTGCCCGCTGTCGTGCCAGTTGACTCGGTGCCCGCTGTCGTACCAGTTGACTCGGTGCCCGCTGTTGAGCCAGATGACTTGATGCCGATGGTTCGGTGCCAGTTGACTTGGTGCCCGCTGTCGTACTAGTTGACTCGGTGCCAGTTGACTCAGTGCCCGCTGTTGAGCCGGATGACTTGATGCTTGATGACTCAGTGCCCGCTGTTGAGCCGGATGACTTGATGCTTGATGACTCGGTGCCCGCTGTCATACCAGTTGACTCGGTGCCCGCTGTCGAGCCAGTTGACTCGATGCCAGTTGACTCGGTGCCCGCTGTCGTGCCAGTTGACTCGGGTGCCGCTGTCGTGCCAGTTGACTCGGTGCCCGCTGTCGTGCCAGTTGACTCGGTGCCCGCTGTCGTGCCAGTTGACTCGGTGCCCGCTGTCATGCCAGTTGACTCGGTGCCCGCTGTCGAGCTTGGTGACTCGGTACCCGCGGTTCTCTGCTAGAAGGCTTGGTGCCCGCTGACGTGCCAGGTGACTCTGTGCCCGCTGTCGTGCCAGATGACTCGGTGCCCGCTGACGTGCCTCTGCCCGCTACACAGCCCGACATGCCAGCCCCTGATGTCCAGTTAAACTGGCCGATAACTGATACCCAGCCTGCTCCTGGAAATCCTGTGCCCAGTGACCTGCCTTCCTTGATTCTCCTACACAAAGAGAAGTCTACCAGCAGGAAACCCAGCCAGCCGGTTTACTCCGGCAGTAGGATATTCAGCCAGTTACCGGACCCGGGCGGTGGAACATTTTGCCCACTAAGGACTGTTTGGAGCGTCCTGAGGCCGCTCCTTGAGGGGGGGGTTCTGTCAGGAATGGATTCAGCACTGGTGGTGGGACTCTCCTACTGTGTGGGCTGCAGTACCAGAGCTGACCAGCGGGTGCTCTTAGCAGCCAGAAGCTCACAATCAGCCAAACCTGGGGCTGATTACAGAAAGGTGTATATAAGGCATGACCAGGCCTGTGCTCTGGGCCTTGGTGTATGTTTTCCCATGAGCCCCTGTATCCTGTTCCTAGTTCCTGTGAGAAGATACCTTGTTGCCGACCCTGCCTGATCCTGATTCCTGTTGACCGTCTCCTGTTCTGACTACTGGCTCATCCCTGACCATCCTTCTGCCTGATCCTCTGTACTGCGCTGTCCGTGAGTTACTGAACCCGGCTTGTGACCTTGACCATTCTCTGCCTGCTCCTTTGATACCTTGCTGCCCGCACATTGCTGACTTGGCCCGTCTGACCACGCTCGCTACTCTGCCATCCATCCATCCTGCACGGATCCAGCCGTACCTGCACATACCTCTGGCGGATCCCTCTATCACTAGCAGGTGTACTCAGGGGCCGCGACCTGGTTCCTGTCTGCTCCAAGTCCATCCCCACCATCAGGGGCCCTGGTGAATAGCAGACTGGGACTTAGACTCCGCGCCCTGGGGAATCCTGCCCTGAGGACCGCTAGAGGTACCACCAGGCAGTCGTTACAGAACCCTACGGTCGGCCTGACCATTCCACCTCTCCAGCCCTGACTACGCCTGTGTTCCTGCACCTCCTAAGATTAGTGGAAGGTTAGTTTGCTCACTGTGCGTTTATATATATATCTGGGTGGCTAATAATAACCTGTATTATACTATACCTGAAACCTGCGTTTCCCTGTGTCAGTCCACACCTTTCTGGTCACTCCTTGATTCCTGACAGTGGCGATGGAGACAGCAGCAATGGGAAGGCCGTACAGGGACCCATGAGACACTGTGGACCTGGCAGCAGCATGAGGAGGCGGTACAGGGGCCCATGGCAGATTAGGGGCCTGGCAGCAGCTATGGGAGGCCCGTAATCTGCCAGCACCCTATGTCAAAAAATTGAACACACCAGCAGTGTGTGAGGAGACCTGAAAGTGGCACATGGCAGAGTGTGGCGATGGAGACAACCCACCGACTGTTTTGCTCGCTGCCAAGCTGCCACCCTCTTCTCCTGATGATGCGGAAGCAATAGCCTGATGACGACGAGGCTGCCAAGTGTGATCAGCCTCATCATCATCAATTAGGGTCTCCGCCTCACTACTAGCCCCCTCGGCTGTGTGTGGGTCAGGAGACAGACCTGTCTCTAGACTGGCTACCGAGCCACTCTCCTCGCCACTACTTCTTCGCCTGGCTGCTGAAGAGGCGGATGTCTCCCCCTGTTCCTGACCGCCCTCTGTTAGCTCTAATGTAATAATGGATGGACACCCGAGCTCTTCCTCACTGTACTGGATGACACCGGGAGCACTGGCCTCTGGCTGCGAATAGTGCTGCCTCGAC